TATGTATATATATATATATATATTATATATATATTATAATATATATATATTATATATATGTATGTGTGTGTGTGTGGTGTGTGTGTGTGGTGTTGTGTGTGTGTGTATGTGTGTGTGTGTGTGTGTGTGTGTGTGTGTGTGTGTGTGTGTGTGTGTGTGTGTGTATCTATATCTATCTATCTATCTATCTATATATATATATATATATTATATTATATATATATATATATATATTTATACATACACACATACACTTACACATACACACATATATGTTTATATACATTATATATTTACACATTACACACACACACAAACACACACATATATATGCTATTTATTTGTATGTACATATATATATATATATTATTATATATATATATATATAATATATGTATATTAATATATATATATAATAATATTATATATATTTATAATTATGTATTATATATATATATTATATATAATATATATACATATATATACATATATGTATATGTATATATGTATGTATGTATATGCGTATTTGTGTGTGTGTGTGGAAATATGTATAAATATGTCAAATTCACAAGGTCTGTGAAAAAGGCCCTTCACTTGATTAAAAAGTAATAGTAATAGATAATAATAATGTTTTGCTTACATTGTTTTACTATAACAGACTTTTCTAGAAATACATATATGAAAATTTTATGTCTAGTTATTAAGATCTGTTCCTTGCTCTAGGTCGCCGCTCGATCTTCTGGTTCAAGGGTGACACTGTTGAAGGCCGAGAGTTAGTTATGCAGTTAATGAGTGTTAAGGGGAATTTCCTAGTGACCAGACAGTTCCAGGACGCCATCAGGTCAGTTCTCTCCGTTTTAAGCAGTAAAACTTACTTGCTCCCATAGCAATCTGTTTCTTTAAAACATTAGTCACTGTACTTTGGCGAGATCCAACTAACTTTGACTTTGTTCATTCCGTTTTAAGCAGTAAAACGTGTGATAAAAGCAATCATAGATTTTCACTTGATTGATATGCATTAGAAATGAATAATCATTCGCGCGCGCGTGTGTGCGTTAACATAAATATATACACAATACGCACGCTGTTTGGGTTCAGGAAGACCGATGAGTGTTGTTGCTTTTTCCTGCACCTTCCATTTTAGCAGCTAACATATTTACACGATATATAATTTATATGTCTATTGCATGTGTAATGGTTTACTGGTATGAATAAGCAACCCTCGTAGCACGTCCACTTGCGACGCAAATGCCGTATCCACGAGGATGAATGTTTATCCAACTCGGCTACGCTTTGTGCAACCACAGCACACGTGCCGTTTCAGACAGGTCCAAAAATACGAACTGGTAAACACACACACACACACACACACACATACGTGCCCGATCTCACACACATATACGCACCTCCCCAAATCTTATGGAACCTATTGAAAGTTTTCCGTGTATCCATTACTGCTTTTCGCTACCATCACGACCGCTAACCCTGTGCCTCTCCTTGCTGCAGATCGGGGAAGTTAGACACACGAAATACCAACCTGATTATCAACGACCTGTCACCTGAGGACTCGGCGAGCTATACCTGCTCCTTGGCTGTCGCAGGGCAGACGGTGACGCATACCCTCACTGTAGAAGGTGAGGTACTTTGTTAATTTAGTCACAGAATGAAGGAATGGTTCCAGTTTTTTCTGAGTTTGTGTGTCATTTTACTTAGCATATAAACCATTTTATCTTATTATATTATTAATCTCATATATGCTATAGCTATCTTTTCTCTCCTTTGCATATATCATTCATTCATTATGCGAGAGAGAAATACACACTTTTTATATATTTCAGTGATAAAGCATTATCAAAGAACCTTCATTATCCTCATCATGAACGGTGTTGCCATAGCTATCGCTGCTATTAGTATTATCACCATTGATATGAATGCCTTTTATATTGCCATAAAAGTATTGTCATTATCCTTTCCTATCTTTTCATTTTCAATATTACTGTTAATGTTACAATTATAACAATTCGGTATTATGGATTCTAATATTTCTGATTTACCATTTTTGTTTATGTTTAATGATAAATATATCATACTTACCATGTTGTTCGTTACAGCTAGTCTGTTGTTCGTTACGATACCCAATCATATTCCATCACCATTACTAGTATACTCTCCTTCGATTATTACCAAGGTTTTGCTATCACTGTCATCTCTGCATTAGCATCAAGGCTATTATCGCCTTCAGCTTCACCTTCGTTAAAACCCGTAAATCACCATCATTCCCGCTGACAGGTGGCAGGAGACAGGCGCCGCCACTGATGCTGACGGCGCTACCGACTGACGGAAGAGTGTCAGCAGGCGAAGGCTTCCCCGCCACCCTCAGCTGCGTTGTGTCTGGGTCCGACGCTGCCGTGTCGTGGCACAGGGCGGTAGGTATCCGTGGCTCTGCCGTTGTGTGGGGCGACTGAGAGTTCAAAACGGCCTCATTAGGGTTATCGCGATG